AGTCAATCAGATATCTCCGCATTTTCTCAATATAAATCCATCAAACATATAATCCACAAATCCAATTATGAAAGAAAAGATAACCAAACAAAACCTGATTACGAAATTTGATTCATCATAGAAAAATTAAACAGCAAACAGGGAAAAGGTTAAACACTTCGATTACTTGATAACTTTTTTTTAAATAAAAGTATTAGATTTATTGATAGACACGAAGGGGGTGCAAACCCATATGCAAAATATTTATATATCAATCAAAATATCAATAAGGTTCCAAAATCCTCAAGATTAAAAGGATGACCCTTAATTAAGAAACCCAGAGTTTAGAACCAACTATCCTTGACCCTATCAAAACCTCCTTCATTGCCCTTAAAAGCATTTCAATTTCTTTCCTTACAGACTATCCAAAAGATGGCAAGGGAATAAGGCTGAGATATTTCTTCCTGCGACTGATACTCTTTTACGCCCAAATTTCCTCCTTCACCGAGCCGACCGTTTACCCAATTAATATCCAAGATGCCATAAGCAAGGATCCATAGTCTGTAAGCAAAGGGACACCACAGAAGAATGTGATTGCACGACTCTGCATTCTTTTACACAAGTAACATCCATTCACCAGAATCCTTCCCCTCCTAATCAGCTTATCCAGAGTTACAATACACCCTTCAACTGCCTCCCATGCAAAAAAGACTATTCTAGGTGAAGCATTGACCTTCAAGATTTGCTTGAAAGGAAAGTATATAGTCGTGATCTCCCTTCTAGTCAGGTAATTGTAAAAAGATCTAACAAAGAAAATCCCACTAACATCGAGGCTCCAATTGGGTCAGTCTTCTGTCCCAGCCGGTGTAGCCTTGGCAAGAGTGAACAACAAGGCTTTACACTCCCTAATTTTTCAATCATTAAGATTCCTTATGACCTCCATAAAACACTCTGCGTTCTCCATATTGCCAATGTAGGAATCCTCTATCAATGCATCCTTGTACCGAGCAATTACATAAATCTGAAAAAATTGATCTCTGAGAATACCACCCTCCAACCACACATCATGCTATAGATTGACTCTATTGCCAATTTCAATCTTCCATATGATGCAGGCTTGGAACTTCTTCTTGTCCATGCATATTTTCTTCCACATCCTGTTACCATGGGATCTAAACACCTCCATAGTGAACCAACCCTATGTTCACAGTACCGAAAACTTAGCCTCAATCACCGTCCACCAAAGAGTCTCATTTCATTCATGAATCTCCGAAGTCATTTCCCTTGCAAGGCCCTATTAACCTCCACCAGTGATCTTAGACACAGCCCCCCAAGTTGAATTGGCTTTTTGACCTTATCCCATGCCACAGGGTTATATCTCCTATTCCCTTCAAAGCCACTCTATAAAAATCTGCAGTAGATGGACTCCAATCTCTTAGCCACACTCCGAGGTATTCATTCATGAATCTCCAAAGTCATTTCCCTTGCAAAGCCCTATTAACCTCCACCAATGATCTTAGACACAGCCCCCCAAGTTGAATTGGCTTTTTGACCTTATCCCATGCCACACGATAATATCTCCTATTCCCTTCAAAGTCACTCTATCAAAATCTGCACTAGATGGACTCCAATCTCTTGACCACACTCC